AAAATCTTTCACATTCATTTCAGTAATAATCATCATTGTGTTTTATCAGTCGTTAAACATTGATAGGTATACATGAACAATTTTAAAAATATAAGTTGAATATAAAGAACACTTATCCAACATTGTAATTAAATAATTTCTATTCCCTAACCAGTGTTTTTTCTTATATTTTAGTGCCTTATCTAGAATACAGCTTTAGTACAAATTCGAAATAAGTACAAGAACTCAGTTACAATAAATGTTCTTATTGTAATCTTCAGTTCTGTGCTAAATTAATCACTCATTAATAATTGTATATTTATCAAACTAATCAAAAAATATCTCACTGGACTAGGTGATATCTTAAGTAAGTCAATAACAAGCTCTTCATCTAGAGTTTGTTTTACTCCGGATTCATTATTAAAAAGATATCAGGTAGCTGAATTATTTCAGAGTATCTCTAGCCATTTCCCAAATCTAAGTTTAGTCATGCATCGAAATAACGTTTCAGTAATGCTAAATATTCAACAGGAATATGTAGACTTGGATTTATCCCTATTCAAAATAAGTTGTACAAATATCAACTATTCCGGTCTATAACGTTTAGGTAAAGTCATTAATATTTATGTAATATGTACACATTTCTAAACTCTAACCGAAAGCTACGCTTTATAGGTAAAACTAAATCCAGAGTGTTGCATCTACTTATCAATTACATCAAATATCGATCTTAGCGCATTGTAAAGTGGTTCAATTCATCAGTCAGAGTCGGTAGATTTTAAATCACTAAATGAATAGTTATATGGTCAATGTGAAACCCACAGGTGGTTTTTGTAGTCCTGGGTTGGCTAAAGAGTGCTCGTTTCTCATTGATGCAAAAATCAGAAACACCTAACAAATAACCTCTGGTTGACATTTATATTTGTGAAACAATCTATACAATAAAATGATATTCACCTGCTCTTTCGATGTCTCTCAAAATATAACATTCATAGCATATTAATATTGAGACATACATACATACAAAAGATCAAATTTTCCTCTTCATTAAGAAAATATCCAAAGATATAAAATATTAGGTCTATAGTTAAAGATGTCAGTGATTGCAATACTTTCACTTAAATCACTAATGTTCAGCTAGTATAACCAGCCAACTTAAACACAGCCCCACTATAATAGTAATTTTTTATTCTATAAACTTTAGTTTAATTCGTTATGCTATTAAAGTGATCAGTCGATTGAATTTCAGGAAATAGTACCATTAATGGATTGAACTAACAGTCCTTTGACAATGGCATTATTTACGCAGCTGTAAATATACTTCAATTCTCTAACGTTTTATAGCTAATTTCATTTTAAGTTTATGAGTATGAGATACATCAATCTTCATAAATATGCATTTACTCCTATTCAGTCTATCATCAATAAAGTTATTGATATATATTCAACTTAATTACTTGCATATATCGATTAATTCTTAGTTTTCTTATATTACGTCAGTTTCTGCTTTTAGATTGTTTAGAGTAAATTTAAATTATGCCAATCGATCTCTCTTTCTGCAAGTACATGCTTTATGTAATGAAAGCGTAAACTAAATATGTAATTTTACAGCTCAACTTTTGTTAACATGTACTTTAAACGGTTTTAGTTAGGGTTTTACATAGTTAGGTGGAATTTGACCATCTTTGTTCTTCCGTAATTGTCACTTTATACTTTCGATTAAATTCTATTAGATATCTAGCTGAAACTTGAGGACACTTCTGATATGAAGAGAATTTTCGTCAAAAACTGCTGTCACCTAGATAACTACTGAAAATCACGGAGCACTGTACACTTTGCATCATGATACAGAAATGGCCAATATTTACTTTCAATGAACATGTCAGGGCATCTTCATACAATTATTTATCTAATCCAAACGATCACTGTATGACAGTCAATCTTTCCGGATTACCTCCTACTCAAAGTAACCATTAAGACTTTAGCTACTTATGAGGTGCCACCTAGTTTTCCCGGACATAATAAGTTTACTCACTGTTTTTTTTCATCATGAACATAACTTGCTTAGCTTTCTCTCTTCCCAAGACTACTCTTTCAAAGTATATTATTTTGCATTCCGAATTGATATAAATCTGTTTTTCCCTATCTTTTAAATGGTTTCAAATTAACTTTCGATTTCAAAAACTTACATAATCTACAGTGCTGTTTGCTTATTAAATTTACATTTATTTATTTTTTTGAACACATTTAGCATAAAACTTCAAATTGCCGGTAGTCAACTTTCAACAGGTTATTCATTTTTGCATCAACACCTTTCGGTCATTACTTACAAAATAACGTCCGAATTCGAAAAATGCTCCACAAATATGCTAAACCATGTGCATATTAGCTGCATACTTACAAAAGAATATTGGTAAACAGTGTAATCAGAAAGCGAGAATCTAACAAATTATCGCGATAAATCTGGACCAAAAAAATAACTGGTAGATTACAGGTAAAAACACACTTGATTCAAGCAAAAGGTACATAGACTGCTTACGTATCAGAACAAATTGTGTCGACGTTTTCGTTAAACTACCAAGTGGTAACAAGTTATTAAGAACACATATAAGGGCTATAAGGTTTATCTATAGGTTCTTGACTCTAGTCGTTACTGTTTTGAAAAACAATGAAGAAAATCTATTCCTTAAGTATGATAGATTTACAGTGTTATAATTTAGCATTTATCAGATACAGCATACAATAATACAGTATTATTCTTATCATTTACTATTTATAGCCTCATAAAAAAGTAACTCCAGAATTTCGTCAATCATAACTTCGTCTACACTATATCAGTTTTAGATGTACTAGCTCCGAGTTTCTAGGTGGAAAAATCAGCGGCTATAGAAGACTTGATACGGGTTATAATATTTAGGGGGAGGAGACGAAATCCTTTCCTGAAGATGGCAGATCAATCTAAACCCAGTATTTTCTGCCAGCGCTCTTCAATCATATATATTTTCAACATGTTTAGAATATTTTCTTGCCCGTTGTGTTGAAATCCAAACAGTTTGGTCTGTATCGCTCATAAATACGAGAATCTAGATCGAAAGCTTCTTTTCAACACTGTGTTCGTGCCTCAGCTTTTTAACCTTAGATAAAGTAGTAAAACATGAAAAATGTTTAGACAACTTATACAATAAGACGATTGCTGCTAACTCAGGAAGAGACAAGCACAGATCTTTACAGATTCATATCAAAAACTAGGACGATAGCTGGTCCAGCGCATGAGTCTTCGCAAGATTACAATATGAACCTATGGGCGAAGACCTGATTAACTTTCCCTGGTTACTACTAGCAACGAATTCGAAAAGTAATGCAGCTAGGATCTGACCGATGGAAAAATGAATACGGAAATATTTTGATTGATTGTTTGGATTAGAGCTCAGACATTCAAACTGCCTTCGTATGACGCAATTTCCTCGATGTTTCTGGAAAAAGGGGTTGCGTAAGGTTGAAAACGATGTAGTGAGCATCCTTTTACTGTAACAAGATTAAAGATTTAGCCCTGATGTTTAGGAATGAAAAATACCAGATTGCTTTTTCAACCAAAAAGTGAGATGTTAGGCAAACTTTTAAAACTAAATAAAGCTATTAAACACATTTGCTAGTTATAATCCTGACTAAGTGACCTGTTTCACTATCTTTGTTCAAACTCAATTTTCCAATCCTGCTCCTTTTCGGAAAAGACTAATTAAATTTACCGCTTAAAATTGTCAACGTGTAGTCTTTAGCAATGTTAGGCTATTATAATTCAAACTGCTAAACTCCTATTCATTGGAAGTGCAACATGACAATTATGCAACTAAGTTCAATAATGATAATGGCCCTAACCTAGTATCAGCTTTTAGGTCTCCAAAATAACATGACACTACGTTTAATTCAAGATCACCTAAAGGTATTATTTTTTGCTTTTAGGAATAAGTTGGTGAAATTCACACAGGTGTTTCAGTAAAAATCTTTATTGTGTGCTGAACGATTAATTAGCGCAAGGTCTCTATACACCCTGAAACCCGACCAGTGATATTGCAAGTCACCCATGCATACTCTACTGCAGTTGTCATCAACATAATATTGCCGCTGCTATCATCTATTTGAGAACAAGTTATTTTTTGTCTTCAGTGGATCTTATACCATCTAATAGTTTTACACCTTTTGATTTTCTCCTTTTCTGCTAATTCCTGCCAAACTCATCACTTATTTGGTATTTTCCCTTTGCTTATTGTCAGCGTCTGAGTCCGCATATAAAATTAACGATTAACCAGTGATATAGTAATTACTGGTATTACAACTGATCACAAATTTCTACACAAACCTCGTAAATAAAAAATATAAATATATAGATAGTCAGGTATACTTGACTTAAATCCTTGTACAAGTGTGAGCTGGCTAAGTTCTTGCATTACATCGGTATGACAAGATGAGATTAGGACACAAAAGGAAAGGAGTTGAAATTAATGTATTACCAATGATAGTGAGATGTACCAAACACTTAGAATATGGTTTGAGGAGAAGGAATAACTGATGCACAAAGTGATGTTAGGAAGGAGGATAAGTTCCAAGATAATTCAATATATTATGTGTCGTCTCCAACCACTGACTGTGGCTATTTCGTGAATCCCAACCAAATAGTATTGGTCTACTAAAATGAGTTAGAACAGCAGTTGCAAGCCTTGTAGACGGATTATAAGTCTTCGTTTAGCCACCCATGGTTTTTTAAGCCTACTCGTATGCCATCTAAAACTGCATACCGAGAAAGAAAGTTGGGCATACATGTACCAATCACCTTAGCCGACCAATATATTTGAAGAAACACAAACAAAAGCCTAAATTTCCCATTAACAGCATTAAAGATTTCTGCTAAGTAACTGAAACTGGATGAAAAACAATCAAACAAAATTTAAATAATAATCAAACAAACGTTCGATATCGTTATTGATATGTCAGAAATATGATTGTAAAGGGAAAGGTAAACAGCTTTAGTGAGTTTTGTCATATGTATCCTTTCCTTTATAGCCTGCAACGTAACCAGAAGCCGCTTTGTCATCCATGAGATACTCTCGTCCCTCGATTCCTTTACCCTTACCAGTTTCAAGATCAAATCGTTCTTTATGAGAGCCCGTATATCCTTTTACATCCGTGAGACGAGCCGTTGCCGAATCCTTGCTAACTTGAGTAGCTCCATGAGCTTTAGGACCGCCACCTTTGATTATTTTACCTTTTATTTCATCTGATGCTTCAGTTGGAGAAATATTTTTTTGTCTTGCATATTCTTCTGCCATTGTTCCTTCAATAAACCTTAAGAAATCAGGGAAGTCAACTTCCTTTCTGCCACTTTTGAGATGTTTGCAGAAAGCAATATCCACGGCATTCGCATTGAATGATTTTGTATAGATATTACAATCAGTACATATTTTTTTAATAGTTTTGTCAGTTGCAGTTTTCGCTCCCTTCTTGACAGCATCACAAAAGTCGTAAAAAATTTGCTCCAGATCTCCCATATTTTATCGAGGGAAAAGCGTTCTGCTAGTTTTGAGGTAACGAAACTTGATGATCAGAAATTTCTACAGCTTTCAAAATATCTTGAAGTGATTTCTTTGCGCTCGCCTCTCGTTCTTTCAGTACAGTTACAGGTACTTGGTAATGTTGAGTGTACGTTATTCTAACAACTCGACTGCACTAATTCTACTCAGTTCTATATTAAATGTACTTTCCTTGATTTGAATAAGTGCCTTTTTTTCAAGGCAATAGGGCTATTGGATACCAGCAGAAATTGATTCTGCAAAACAAAACATTATGTATTAAATGGATTTTAATTGAAATGTCAAATTTGCCCCTGACAGTGTCTATTACCATATTACGACAAGTCGATATTTAAGAATTCGCATCGGTTAAATATGCACATTGGCGTGTGGAAAGTCCAGTCGCGTCTTAATATTAAATGTATCTCATAACATTTAGATGCAATGATAATTGAAGTGGTAAATAAATGCCATGAAAAATTAGCTTTATAATTCGATGAGCAACAACCAAACGAGGAGCCTTCAATTCGACTTTAAGTTTCAATTTTGAAAGGACAGGAGGTTGTACAACCTTAGTCGGTCCTAGAAATATTGGCGTCTCAGTTGATCCAACATCACCCTGACAGATGAAGTTTCAAATAACTATTGACGTAACCGGTTCATTTCTTGACGATCCGATAAGGAAGTTGATATTTAGCTGGTAGATTATTTATTTGGTGCCTTCAGATCTTTTTAGAGCGTTATCATACATACTGTTTTAGATGGTAGGTATGAGGATATCAGATGCAAATGTATCACTGAGTAATTAAAAAACTACGATTTAATCACCTTCGGTTTTTCCTGAAGTAATGTTATCGTTATTGCTGATCCCAAGCCGGATAAAGGAGGAGGATCGAGCATTCGATTAACAACCAAATATAGTTGAAAACAAACATGAAAAAATCGCTAACCAGAAGCAGTAGTTTCAACCAATAATTTCAACTCTGCCCTGTTAGTTGGAATGTCTTTGTTTAGAAGAGTTATCACACCTCATGACACTGGCCACAGTCACGTGGCTGATGCCCCTTCTCACAACATCCAAATTATTGCGGAAATGAAAAGATACAAACTAATGGAGCTTGGAATAACTGAAATACACTGGCCAGAAGCTAAGCAGAACAGTTTAGCCTCAGTAGACATGCTGTTTTACTCCAGCCATGAAGAAGAAAATTCCCTACATATAGAAGGATTTTCATTGATGCTGTCCAAAGAATCCCAGTAAGCACTTATTAGATGGGAATCTCATGGATCCAGGATCATCAAAGCTTCCTTCAAAACAAAAAAGGATGGGATTTTGATGAGTGTCATTCAGTGCTATGCATCCACCAACGATGACAGTGAAGATGATGAAAAACTAGTGCTTGCAGCCACTGGCCAAGAAATGACGAAAAAATGGCTTGACTGTTCCGACTGGAAACTTCAGTGCTAAGGTTGGAACTGACAATACCGAGTATGAAGATATCATGGGTCAACATAGGCTATGAAACAGGAATTGAAATAGTGAGGAATTCGCAAACTTGTGTGAGGCGCCATTTTCTTAGACAGATATATTCACAACGTACATATCCTCCACGGGATCACGCTATGTAGAACTAGATCGATCACATCAGCATCAAAAATCGGTTCAGAAGGACTATGGAAGACGTTAGAACAATGAGTGAGGCTGACATAGCTTCAGAACATCACTTAGTCGTGATCAAGGTGAAACTGAAACTAAATAAGCACTGGACAACTGGCCGAACAGCACCCGAAAATTTTCACTCAACCTTTCTTCAGGATACTAGCGAACTCAACAAATTCTAAGTTAGTCTTCAGTAAAAGGTTCCAAACCTTTCATAATCTACTCAACGGAGAAGAATCTACCATGGAGAAAAATTGTGATGTGGTAAAAGAAGCCTTAAATCGAGCGTGTAGTGAGTTTCCGAGCCACAAGAAGCACCTCATCAATGGACGGATCTTATATGATGCTCTGGATGAGATTCAACAAAGGATGAACAGGAAGACAATCATCAATAACAGGCGAAAAGTAAGATCCATCTTTAAAGGCTTTGTTTGTGGAAATCCCTCCATGTATACATTCGTAATTTGTCCTTATTGATTCCTTCATTTGTACATTTTGTTAATCTGTTCCATTCCATCTGAGATGATAATACTTGTATTTTATTATGGTTCCTATTTTTTGTGCATTTAATGAGTTTCTATGTTTCTTTCTGAACTGAATTATGTTGTTTAAGCGGATATTCAGTCATGGCGACAGCCACATCGGTTTGTTTCACTTTTGACTGGATTGCTTGCGTGGACTGAAAGTGTACATTTTGATAGTGAATTGAAGCACACTTCCAGAATAAGAAACACTCTGTGTTATAAAGTAACCAGTTATTTTCTTTCGAACGAATCTGATCTATCCAGAAAGGATAGAATAACATTTATTTGTTGCTGTTGATTTGATTAATTGAACAATTATTGGTGGAATAACTGAGTGGCAACACTTATTTAGGTAATGACGTATATTTATATTTATGATGAATATTCGGACCGCTATTTACCAAATAACTTGTTTCGATTTCAACTGGGCAAGGCTCATACCTAAACTACCTAGACAATTATTTCTCAGTCCAAACCTCGGTTTGGACAATAGCAGAGAAAGCCAAAGCACGAGCTGAATACAGAGAAGCGGAGAAGCCAGTGAAGAGTGGGATCAGTGCTATCAGTGACAGTGGGAGTAGATGCATAGTGAGGAAATATGAGACAAATGTGAGATATGAAACAAAGATCCTAGTAAGTATTACAACTACAGAGCTGCACTCTACCAGGCAAAGTCTTGAATAATCGCTTAATCGAATGAGAGATTTCGTCGTGGTCTAACTTGAAGATCATAGTGCCGGATTGTACAAGGATTATTTGTGTACCAACCAGAGCGATCCTAACCTTAAGCTGTCTCAAATTATGAATTATCTTAAGACCCCCTAACTAAAACTTTCGAAGTTGCATAGTCATACTGTTTTACATATATGCATATGTTAGCTAGCTAATGTCCACCATGCCTTTATCTGATGTTAAAGCTAACAAAAACTAGTATACTTTTGCACAGTTCCCCCAGCATTCCTTCCAGCAACAGTAAGTATATGTAGAATCCATTTTTGAAGGCTTCGTTTTTGGGAAAATCCCTCCATATATATATTTGTAATATGTTCTTACTGACTCTTGCTGTGCTACATTTTGGTGGTCTGTTTAATCCAATTTTGGGATGTTAATATTTGTATTTTGTTATAATTTCTATTTTCTGTACCCTTATTGGAGTTTCTATGTTTTCTACTGAACTGCATTATGTTGTTTAAATCGACACTTAATTATGGCTTCAGCCATATCGGATTGGATACCTTGGTGGGTGGAAAGTGCATGTGAGCTGGAAGGGTGCAGTTTGGACCTATACGGAAGCATTCTTCAAATATTGTAAACACATTGTGCTATTTTTGACGGAAAACAGTGTATTATTGTTTGGGTAATTATCTGTATTTTTCGAATAATAATAGAACCGTTTCTTACCCAGATAAATTGCTTTCTATTTGGATAAAGTGGGCAAGGCGCGTATCTAAAGTTGTAGAACTGTTTCTCCGAAATCAGAGTCCACTCTGAAACTTACATATGTTAGAACTGATGACTAGACTACTGAATTCACTTCTCCTCAAAACGCACTTGTTCCCTTCACCTCTGTTTATTACGAAGATGATGAATCTGTACCTGGCAGACCTAAGATATGTTGCCAGTACTGATCCATGGCTTCTCACTGAATGTTAAGATCTTGTCCCACATTTACTGAAATAAACTGACTTTTCATAATCATATTATCTGCATCACGTATATAGTTTCCATACAAGTTGATGTCTGATGGCTTCCATGTGCCTTTAATCGTCGTTAATCTCATTGCTCAAACTGTTATTCTGCCATCGAATCTTACTAAAAACTATTGAATTCCCTTACATTCCACGAGTGTTACCTTTTCTACCAGTTACGTTTCTTCTCATCCACAAAAATACTCTAAATAATTACACATTTATCTTGGTTATCCTTTTCGGTTTTATTTCCCCTCTCTGCATTCAGATGAACTTGATATTCCTCCTCATATCAAATAACCAGATTAATTATAGTGAATGTAACCGCTACCGAAATTTTCGGGGTAGTTATGTTTCTACATAACACTCATGTTCGTGTATAAATAACGAATACTAAAGCTGAATCTCTAACTCCGCCAGTAGAACCTTTGGGGCTACTGCCAGTCCCAAGCCCGGAAAAAGAAGGAGGGGTTGGATTTGGGGTTTACGACCCCATCCCAACTAAAACTAACTTGCCAAAAAACGCTAACCAGAAAAAATAATTCAAACCATTTTAACTCTGCCCTCGAATTTGGAAGAAGAATTATGACGTCTAGTGATGAAAGCCGAGTTCCCTCGGAAGTCACGGGGCCGATGCCTCTTTTGACAACCAGAGCAACCATTCTTTTAGGTACATGGAACGTTCGTACATTGTGGGAGACTGGAAGACTATTTCAAGTTGCGGCAGAAATGAAAAGATACAACCTCGAGGTGCTCGGGATCAGTGAAACGCATTGGACACAACTAGGACAACTGAGACTTGCTTCAGGGGAACTGCTGTTATACTCTGGTCATGAAGAGGAAAACGCTTCACATACACAAGGAGTTGCACTGATGCTGTCCAAACATGCACAAAAGGCACTGATAGGATGGGAATCTCATGGACCCAGGATCATCAAAGCATCCTTCAAAACAAAGAAAGTGGACATTACAATGAACGTCATCCAATGTTATGCACCTACCAATGACTACAATGACGACGTTAAAGATCAATTCTACGAAAGGCTGCAGTCAATCGTCGAGAAATGTTCACCAAAGGATTTGACGATTCTTATGGGAGACCTGAAT